TAGTGGGGATGGGCATTGAATCGGAAAAGAATAAATCCTCACCAGAATTCACGGATATCTTGTCCCATCCCGCCCTCCCCGCACCGGCCAAGCAACAGTTCTTTCGTTCCTCACCACCGGCTCTTCGTCCCCAGCGAATGTCTTCGGCATCAGAAATTAACCTACCAACAGTCAGTGCACCCTCAGGCCCCAATCCGTCTCATATTCACCCTCCCCTTACGCGTGCCGCATCACTTTCCAATCAAAGTGGTACTCAATCTCTCGATCAACCCAACCCACCTCTGCCACGCTCACCCACCACCCTTTGGATGGGTGATCTTGAATCATGGATGGATGAAGACTACGTCCGAAAATGTCTAGTCATGATGGGGTGGCATCTGCCACATTTCGTTCCAACCTCTTCCGCCGGTTCCAAGGCGGATATCGGACCTAATGGCGTGAATGTCAAGATCAAAATGATCAGTGGGGCCAGCCCGAGTTCAGCTTATTGCTTTCTTACCTACCCGACCGCCGAGATGGCCCAGCATGCTTGGCGAATGATTAGCAACTTGCCACCAACCCTCATGCCTGGTTGCGAGAGGACTTTCAAGGTGAATAATTGACTGCCAATACTGAATCCTATCGCGGTGGGTGTAAGCTAAATTTCTTTTTTGGTGTTTTTCTTGACTTCAGCTCAACTGGGCAACTGGTTTACCGGGAGTTCAGCCAACCTGGGATCGCGAGTTCTCAGTTTTCATTCGAGACCTTGATCGTGAGGTAACTGAAGGAGAATTAGTGGTAAGTCACTGTTCACTAGTATCCCCTCGTGCAATTGATATTGTTTGACCGCTCACTCGTCGAATGATCCATCCAGGCTCTTTTTACCTGCAGCTTCCCATCGACCAAGTCTGCGAAAATCATGGGTGACCTCTCCACTGGACTTTCTCGTGGGTATGCCTTCATTCGCTTCGGTGAGGAAAGTGACATGCACCGCGCCCTCGCGCTTGGTCGTTCGAAAAATGGGACCGGCCTCTTCCTACGAGGTCGTTGTATTAAGATCACGGAGGCGAGCGGCTCCAGTGGCACCGCTGGGGATCATTCCCAACATCGCACATCCATATCTGCGATTAATGGCCAGAGAGCACGACCAGAACTGCCTTCCAGTGTTTCTTTTGGAAATCATCCCCATGAACAGGGCGAGACACGAAACAAAGCCTTGCTAAACTCGCGCATGGTGGCAAACTCGATGGCCAATGACCCACCCAAATCAATCTTGCGAATCCATCGTGATAGTCTTACTCAGGTGCGTGTTCAGCTCTCCTTCTACAACACCTTAAATAATTCAATGTGAGATGGCTGTGATTGATTTTTTTTCTGATGGATTGGACAACACATCCAGGACGTTGGTGGTCTGTCGTCATCCCTTTCTACCCTGCGCCTCTCATCCAGCTACCCTCCGCTCACCAATAATGCCGCTCAATCACGCCTTATGACCAACTCCTACGCACCAGATCACTCTAATGCGAATTTGCGAATCAATCACGATGGGATGTCACAGGTGCGGTCCACAAAATCTTCTCATTCTTCAACCTTCTCATCAGTTAAATCGACTTGTCGCAACTCATCCGCTACTTATCCGGTTGGCTGACTACCCCATTTTCAGGCTACGAACCGGCTATCGTCTTCTATGTCGGCATTGCGGCTTTCGCCCGGTTACCCACCACTTTCCGCGGCGTCCACCGGCTCACAGACCCATTCACTGCCGCTACCCGCCCCTTCTTTCCCACGTACTATTTCGGCATGCGCACCTCTCATAGATCGAAATCAATCAGTCCCTGCTTTACCAAATCATTATCCTGCTTCACTGTCGCGCTCTGTCTGCTCGTTGGCTCCTCAAGGTTTACTTGCAAATTGCCAATCCCAATACACCACTGCCCCCGGTGTTGCCCCCCTCCCGGGTCATCCAATGCTGAGCTCATCTGCAATGCCAGTGGCCAGGGCTGCTGCTGCTGCTCAGCCCAACCACCTCATCTCCAATACCCACTCACCCGCGTTGTTCCCAGCACTCAGCTCCTCACTCACGCATCCGAACTCGTTGCCTAGCGGCTACATGTCCTCCACAGGTGAGTATCTGTCTCAAATTCTCAATCAATATTACTGTCCTCATTTCCCGGCCACTTTATCGCCTCATTTTTTTAGGTATATTTCCTTCTCCCAATGGGGTTACCGCAGCGAATTTGACTCAGCAACATCAGCAACTGCATTCGGCATATGACCTCCCGCCGATAGATCCGGCGTCATCTCCCAATTCAATCACTTCTCATCTTGCAGCCCTCTCTCAGATCGCCTCTGTCGCACATGATGCGAGCAACGATCCCTCTAACACCACTGTCTTTGTCGGTGGTCTTCCTGCCTGCATTAGCGAAGGAACATTGAAAGTCAGTTTCTCCAAATGAGCTTCCTTCTAGAGTTTACCAGACTGAGATAAACTTCCTCCGCAGACGTTCTTCCAAAATTTTGGCGAAATCACTTATGTCAAGATTCCACCCAATAAAGGCTGTGGGTTTGTCCAGTACGTCAGACGTGAAGATGCCCAACAGGCCATGCTCAAAATGCACGATTTTCCTATTCACGGAAAGTCTCGTATCCGGCTGAGCTGGGGACGATCTCTGGGAGATAAGCAGGTTGAATATGTCAAAAAATTATCATCGGCTCTTGGCATATCATTCGAATCTGTCTGGAAGATCGTTCAAGGGCAGGATCCTTCGATGATCAAACAAATTGCATCGACACTTGGTGGAGCAAGTGGGGCTCCACCACCACCGATCGCTGCGCCGGTGCGACCCAGTCTACCAGTAAGGAGAGAATCCGACCAACCACATTCAAGCGTTTCATATGCCGGTTTGATGCCCGGTCTACCAACTCATTCGAGTTACACCCAAGGCCTATCCAGCGGCCAATCCACCCCGACCTCACATGGTCCCATCTCTTCCCCTCTACCATCGTCCGGGCTTCAGAACTCATGGCGAGGGCGACAACCCGGTCTATCATTTGATAGGTCTCTCAACTCGATCGGCAACCTGGATTTCCCAACCACTCTTCCGAGTCGTCGAGCTACCATCCAACCCGTCACACCCGCCTACTTGTCCTTCGAAAATATCCCCTCTGGCCAAGCTAATGCCTTGAGACCGTTTGACAATCGTTGGGGCTTTCCCATATAAAACACGCGGTGCTGATTTCCTGCACCCCGCAAACCTACAACTACATGCACCATCTTCATTCAAGTAATCTGTATACCTTCTCAATACCGTCGCACATTTTTTTTCTACTACAGTCTCACTTCATTTTAGCATTGTTCCTCTATGTTCTATCTATCACCTCTACATTATTGTACTACATCCTTCCCCCAACTTACCCAAGTTCTACATGAGGCCCATCCCCTCCCGGACATAGAAAACAAAACAAAAACTTCATCCTTCTGGTATTCCCATCACAAATCATCATGAATATAGTAGCACTTATACGTTTCATCATCCTTGTTCTTACCTCAAACTGTTCCGTCCTCTTTAGCACTTTCTAGCAACTTTACCAGCAAAATAAACCCAAAAAAATCCCATCTTTAGTTAGTCACTCCAGTAGTCTGGCCCTGTTGATCTGTAGTACGCGTTCCCGGTGTGCAATTGCGAACCAATTTACTTCATCTTTCATTTGCTGTGTGTTTGTTTCTTTATCTTTCCCTTTTCCTGCTTCTCTTCCACTCTTAATACTTTCTTGTTCTGATTGACTTATCCAACCAATTCTCAAGCTCCATCCATCCTTTCTCCCCTCACCTCTAGAAAAAAAAAGAAAAAAGAAGAAATTCTCTTCAGTTAGTGCATCATATGCAATGTGGCCTTGTTTATCCTAACCTTATCATCAAAAAAAAACATAACATAACATAACATCAAAAGAATAGTGATAATCATTCTACTCTATTCTATCTTTTGCTTATTAGTTTGAGTCAGTATGTCAATTATTCAGTTTGTTGGTTGCTTTCACCTGGAAGAAGAAAGATAAATTATATATATATATATACATAGTAGTTACATACACACAAGTTGTTTCTTTCCACTCTGATCTACTGCGCTGAAATCCATGCTTCTTTGCAAATTGTTTACTTTTTTGTCTCTGATCTTGATTGGTTGTCATCAGATAGCCTTCCTCTTGACATTACAAAGACTATGGTCATTTTTTTATCAAGAATAAGATGGTGTTCTTTGGTCCAGGAGTAGTATGCAAACATCATCATTGCACCCTCAATCAGCCATTTCATCGGTCTAAAGTAAGATGGTCTTTCCTGACCTTTGCTGCACAGATGTGATGTACAAACCAAGCATTTGTCTTGAAATTTGTCTCTCACAATTGATGCCAATGGCTTGCAGACTTCTCTGGAACACTCTGATGTCATTTAGCATCTGATGGTGGATGGATTGATGGATGGCAAAATGAGCATGATGGATGGATCTTGTTGTGTTGCTTCAACAGACTTGATTTCCCAAGCAACGACCAGGGTCAAGCAAAGACTTTGGTTGTGTGGTTGAGACTAGTCAGAATTGTCAAATGCATCTAAAAAAAAGCCTTGTCCTGTGGACTTGAAAACACCAAAGTTACCAATTCCCACAGGGCTGGCATGATGACTTGATTGAGCTGACCATGATGTTGGGTGTAACCTTTCCCAGAATGCAAACAATCTCCAAGCTGAATACTGCATTCTCTTGGGGGCTTCCTGGGCCATGCGGCCATATGCTGGCACCCACACTTTATAATCACTTTCAGAAAATAAACAGCCCAAAATCAGAAGTACTTTCTTGAGCAACATATAGCAATGTCCAATCCTCAGGCAGAAATGTATGTCTACCTGTAGTGCTAGAGAATCTTAGAGGGTCTGATATCAACTGGGGAGCTGTGATCAAGGAGATGGACCACTGCCATTTTTTTCACATAATTTCCAAGATTCTTATATCATTACTAAAAAAAAAAGACATCTCCTAATCAGGTGGCATTACCAAGCCATTACAAAAGCATAACCTGTTTGGAATTTGAGGCACTCATTCATCAGTCACCAGTTTTGTATCAGTAAAGATTATGTTCAAGCTTCAATCCTTAATTTTGCTATTAGCATGTGCTTCCCTGATTGCTTCCTAATGGAAATATGATCTCTTTTTTGAATTGATTCGCCCAACTATCTTATGCCCTTGGCTTAAAGAAATCCCCTTGGACTGTGGTGCCCAGGCTGACTGTTGAATGGGAAACCCATAGGATAATAGGCTTATGTGCAGCCCCTTGCCTGATTGCAGGAGCAGAAAGGAACTCCAGGCTGATGAAGATGCAGAGCATTTTTAAATGGAAGTGGCCAGTGATCATTTATAATCACAAAACAGACAGAACTTCAAACCCTGATCCTTGCTCAGAATTTGGCATCCTTGGCAACTGTTCAATCCCAGACAATCCCTAAAGAGTTCCAAATGTGTTTTTTTTTAGTCCACTCAATAATTCAAGATCTTTTTTTCAATATCTGTACAGTAGGTAGACAACCGTTTTCACCGCCTTTGATTTTTTAATGGCCAAGGTGGAGTACCCTTTGGAAACATAAAAAAAGGGTCTTAGCTAATCGACTCCCAAAAAGTGGAGGATCGACTCCCAAACCCCGAAACCCCCGGAATTTCCACCGAAATCCCCGAGGAATGGGAGTCGATCCCCCAAACCCGTCAGCGGGTTTGGGAGTCGAAAAGCTAGTAATTTTAATAAAAAAAAAGGCCAACCCCCGAAGGAGTTGGGGGTCGACGTCCCAAAACCCACTGGGTTTTGGGTGTCACTTACCAAAAATAGCCCGCAACGGCCGGGAGGATTCCTCCCGGCCGCTGATGGCACACCCTCAGCGGCCGAGAGAAACACTCTCGGCCGCTGAGAGTGTACACTCTCATCAGCCGAGAGTGTACACTCTCGGCCAATGAGAAAATACACCCTCAACGGCCGGGAGAAAACCTCTCGGCC